ACATATATGTTGGCGTCTGTCCATAACGCGCCACGGGACCAGGATCCAGTGGTCAGTATTGTGCCAGGATCGATGCGCGACCATGTCATCTCGTCCAAATCGAGCGCCCAGAGAGAAAAAGATTGGTATGACTGGGCCAAGTATGTCCCAGCTATGATGAGATGTTTGCCAATGATCACCCCGGTGGGGAAACGAAGACCTGGCGGGAGGGCTGCACCGCTCATCATATCAGATTTATCCATAATATGAAACGTGTCTTCGGAAGGCGTGAAAACTTCAAGTTCGCGTTGCACATCGGTAAACTGACGGAGAAATGCTGGTCAGATCGTATCGACTGCAATTCATCTAAGGGAAAATATCACATTATAGTTGCTGTAAAGATGTATCTCTGCGGGATATTCCAGAGAGGGGACGTCCGAATACGGGACAAAGACAAGTTGATCAGAAATTCCTTGGGCAGGATGGGGGGGCATCATCGTGTCGCCTGGAGCAGTAGCCTTCTTCACGTTAGCGAATACTGACTCATTTCTCCGTGTTGACACCCTTTCGCGAACAGGGTCACGAATTACAGTGCTGGACGCGACAGCGACGCTCCGGTATGTCCCACAATGTCGCGGGTACTCTCTCTGTTCTACCCACCGCTTCTGTGAAAGATCAAAGACATGGATGTCATCCAACCAAGTGTTAGACATGTCTTGTCCACCAATGATGAACAATCTCGAGGCGGTGATAGAGGAGAGGTGTGCATAGCGAGGACGAGGTATTAGAGGGTCAGAGGCGTAAGGGATGACAGACGGCCAGGATGAAAGAGAGAGGGTATCAAGAGTGGTAGGGTTTGTCTCAGCGGCTGGAATCCACCGATGCTCTGCGAGTGAAAATAGTCGAACGTCGTTAAGAACACAGAGTGAGTCGCTGTTCTTTGAGGCGTAGCCCATCCCCCCGAAAATGATCAGAAAGCCGTTCCAACTGTCTGCACTGTGAAAATAACGGGAAGTTGGGGTATGCGCTCCGCCGTCATCGCCTGAGGGGGTGATGTTTTTCCACACTGAGGTTCGCAGATCGAAGAGATATAGGTCAGAAGTCATCCGTCGCACTGAGTGCAGACGACCGCCAAAGAGGTACATCTTGTCGCCCACGACGGTAGTTGAAGCTCCAACAAGAGGTGGTGGGATATCGCCTGTCGTGTTCCGTGCCGAGGTCGTCAGGTCCGAGATAGAGTGCATGGCCATGCTTGACAACACCACCAGAATGCAACAGATGACCAACTGTCCTAGCAGGGAAGAGAAGACACCAGAAAACGCCTGAGATGCTTTTCAGAAACCAATGAACTGGCGCTTTTGATGGACTTCAAACAATATATGAGAGGTGATGGATTCAATTCATGTCATCGGAAAAGGCACTTTCCGCACAATCCCGTGGCCACCGCCCTCGCACTTTTCAGCCAGCTCTCAGTGTCTTTTCCAGGGCTCATTTTACCGCCTGGACCCTGGTTCTTCCACTCCCTTCATGCGTCCTTCATGTTAACAAGCCACCTCGTGGCGCCCAAACTGCTTGGGCGCTTCTACTTGACGCTGGGCGGCCCCGTTGCTACGGCATTTTCATCTGTGCTGCTCTGACCCAAGGATGTGCTTCGTACTAAACGTCATTCACACGCGACAACTGCAATGGCATGAAAACGTTTATATCTATTCTCACCCTCTCTTGGTATCCTTTTCACGCAAATATTTCAACATTATGGTACACTCTGGCTCAAGCTCACCATACCCATTTTGTGTTGACTGCGAAGTTTTTCAATGTAAGCATATTCGTTCATGATTCATACAGCAGACACGGATGCGATCGGTATTCTCAGTCATGATCGGATCACCTCGAATTCTATGCTTTTCCGTTCTCATCTCTCTGATGCGATGGTCGACATACTATCAAATGCAGTCAGCTCTCCAATTGCCAACGATCTGGGCCTACATCTATTTCTGGGGCGTCCACTGGCATATGGGGAACACAGTTTCTGGATAGCATCAACACCTCTACCTGTGGTGGCACTTCTGGACGTACCGCAGCAAGCGGTCACTCGAGGAAAAACATTCACGAAAGGCTCGTTGTTGGTCTATTGGTCGCACTAGTGCCTGTCACAGTTTACAGTAAGCTACTAGTGTCTCGTCCTCTGTCGTCCAATATGGCCCCCTCACAATGCATTTGTGACACAACTCCAAAGTTTCTCTCCTTACCACTTGAGCGCTGGGCGTGCTTCTGCGCGCCTCTCATCACTTCAGAACAACATGGGCTCCGCACTCATCTGGTCTTCTGGAGACACGAAGTAGTGTCTGGATGATGTCACGGTTTACATCTGGAGATGACCACTAATAGTGATGCAGCATTCGTTAATAAATTGCTCCTCGCACGATCAGTTCTTCTGACATTCCTTGGACGTCCTGCTATGCGGAATCTTTTTCAATGACCACAAATACCCGTCCCCAGGACCATATCCTATTGTCCTGATACGATACCCTCAAAAAATTGTGTCACAGTCCTTCCTCGAGTCCCACATGGCCACTAGTTAGATCTTTCCCCTCCTGGAAACCTACACACCAACCAGGAGAGTCCATCGCACATCCAAGTATCATTCCTTCTAGCGCATGAACACTGTGATTGGTTTCACGCACCTCCGAAGAATACGTGGATTTTTGCCATGTCTGCGAGCAGTGCTGCACGAGTGCGGGGTAATTCGTTGGCTGTTACTCTGTCAATTCACTCCATCTCCCAATGAGCGAAGCCTTGCTACAATAGGTCAAACAACCGAAAGTGATTATATCCCTGTGAATGATTCATCTGCGGCGCACGTTGGTTCTAGAAGACTCACCACTTTAGTAGAGGCTGGGATCCTGCCTAGAAGACCTATTCCAACCCCTCAACATCAAAATCATCATATAGAAGCAGTCTCTTTCTGGTTTCTGGGTCTCGCTACACCTCTGTTCTTTTGTCTGACTAAATTGCTTCGCTACTTCTCATCTATTCTTATTACTGCTGGGAGATTCCGAATGCCGGTTCTCTCCATTTGCCGATCGAAGGTTCCCGCTTAGACCTACGATACAATTACATATCACGTGGCATTAAGGCTTTGATTCAGATGCTTGCCCGGCACCGCTTTCTCTGAGCGTCTTACATCTCCTGCCCGCCACCACCAGGAAATGGCTTTACACACCCTGGTTTCTTGTCTAGCATGGGAGGCACGCTAGCTCTGGGGTCAGAAATACACAGTCCGAGTTGTCCGTTATGTTCGCTCCCCCGCCACTTACTGCTCGTGATGTTTTCATAGCTAACGACGACGCAGAGAGGCTGTTTTCAAGCCTTAACAACTTGCGAGCTTAATAGAGGGAGGAAGTTACCTCGGATGCAGATTTTGGCGCGCATGGAAATCACTGAGCGATTAATCGTACCTCTTCGTGATCGCTGCATTGTTGCAGGACTAGGATGAGTGACAGCACCAAGCTGCATATTTGTAAGGAGTAATGATCATACTAGTATGGCAGGACTGGGGTCATTGCACACAGCCGACTCTCTCCAAATTGATGGTCGGGAAAGTTGGATCATAAAGAAGTCAGGCAGAAACGCTAGCGAGCCAGGATTGAAGGTGGTTCGATTGGATACTATGTTTGTCAGACCACTTTGGGCCAGCGAACTGTTCGCCTGTTCGTGATGATCAACAACATTACAATGATGTTCCCGCGCTCCCTTGATGGACAGACTTGACGACATCCGAACGGTACGGGTAGTGGGGCAGTTGGTGTTGATGATCAACCGGTTTTCATGTTGTTCATGAATGGATAAGTCGTGAGACAACATCACGCGACTCGATGTTCCCTTTCATGACCACTGAGCCGATAGTCCCAAGAAAACAAATACGTTGTAGACTGGAATATTCTGGTTAACAAATGCCGGCAAGGATAGACCAATATCAGAGACACATTACTTAACACTGTATTTTTGAGGTAAAATATCCGAGCTTGGATATTTCCAGAATCCCCACAGAATCTTGGAAGTATCCGATGCTGGATATTGAAGTATTCCACCCATGACCCCCCATCATATTGCTCGGTTATAAGTAACAGGGATATGAGAAAGGGTCCATGGGGATATTACTCATAAACACTCATGGATAACCCCCGGGATATCGCCTCTATATCAGTAGAGGCTGGGATCCTACCTGGATATCGCTAACATTTATTAATCGCAAAAAAGTTTTTGCAGTACATGATACAACTTTTCCAAGGCTGGGTTTGTGTACACAGTGCTAGCGCACATGTTCGACGGAGCCCTGAGTGTAAGGCATAGTTGCCGCACACAATCGAGTACGCCAGCACAGAGAAGTACTTGTCAAGTGCCACCTAGCAGCCCTGTCTGACTGCTTTTGGAGGCAAACTCCCATCGTAACCAAAAATCGATCGCATCTAAAGATTCCCGTCGCGTGCCGCCAGTCACCTCGTCAAGTCAGAATGAGCTCAGTGGGTAGTGGGTAGTAGTATATGTGTAAATAGATAGGTACAACCCCATCACGCCCTGGAAAGCTATGATACCAGTCATCGAAAACAGTTTTAGTTAAAACCACGCACATACTCTTCCAGTTAGGTAACGATTTGGGGTTAAAAAGAGAGCTGTCGAACGATTGTCAACGTGCTTCTCCGATTTGGCATCATCTTTCTCAGGGGGGGTTCGAAGGCCAGGCCGCTTCGGCCGAACCTGAGCAATTCGGAAGGGAGAAAATGGTGCTTGATGGACGGGCAAAACAGCCCGATCGAGCCAGGAGGCAAGCGCGCGTGCGCGCGCATCAGTGGCGCGAATATTACGATCTGGAAGACACTGCGTATGGTAGTAGGGAGTTGTTTAGAAATGTGATCAGACGCAGTTTTTAACTGATTGGACGGTAGAAGGTACTGGCAATGAACATTTCGGCGGTCTCGGTGCCAAGTGAATGTATAGCAAGCACATGCGCCACAGAGAGTCGAACAGCGGTACAAGGTATTACGAGTCTGACGTTCAAGCACTCGAGAATATAAGCGAAAGAAAAAAAAACCACAGAAATGTACCAAAACGGGGAAATAGTTACTTCAGACGACGATAAGATGGCAGAACTATCTGTATCTCGGCGACGTTCAGTTGGATATTCTGAAACGAAAAGGGGGACACTCACACTAGAACCATAGGGTAGGAAAAAAAGGAGTCTAAGAGATCACATTCGGGAGAAAAAAAAAAACACAGTAACTTCAAAGCGGAACAAGACGATATCCCATACCCCGAGCCAAACGAGAAAGCCAAATATAAGCATCCGAGTTCGTCGAGGAGCTCGAACGCGTTTCTGGGAACTCCAGGTGAGTTTCAGCCGGCGTACTATTCAATGGTGGGTCGCGTGCGCGAGATGGTCCAGCAGAAAGTTCATCGTTGCCAGTGCGGTGCGACGACGTTGCAGTAGTAGGGTCGAAGTTTTCGCTATTATAAGTTGGCATTCCCCAGTGAGGAGTGATGTCGAAGGAGGAAGATGCGGGGTTGGGGAAGGCAAATTCACCATGGGGAAGATGATCCGAGTAAGCGAGGGATGAGGCATCCAGGATGGGCTCTTCCCTACTCCCACCGCGCACGTGTGGAGATAATCCGAGTACAGGCGTTGGGAGGATCATCGTGGAAGTGGAAGAGGTGTTATCAACGAAAGGGAAGGTGCCCAAGTTATTCGAGACGGTAATAGGGAGTGGTTCATCCAGTGAAAGGTTCTCCGCGTTACTCTGCAATGCATGAAAGGGGTTTGGAGAAGTAATGGTGGACGATGCCAGTGCTCCTGAACCACTTGAAAGCTGAAAGATGTCACCCCCAGAGTTCGATTGCAAACCTGAGAGAAAATCGCGTGTTTTTGGAAGAGGCGCTACAGAATGACAGGGGGAACGGGTGTTAGATGAAGCGTGCAAGGGACATGAACTGTGTAGCACGCCACGCACCTGTCTCGACGCCTTCACGTCTGGTATGTCTAGTAGCAGCCAGTACTCTAACCTCCTGCAGACATTCCTGGGCTCTCACAGACGCCTGCATGTTTCCCAAACTTCATTTGTGAGGTGAACCATCGGTGCACCCGTCAAAACACTTACCCTGACTGCATTGGGGATCTTGATCGGACACGCAACGCACTCAACTCGCATCCACTTGCATGCATCACAGCCTTGGTGATTGGGAAGCCAAACGCATCTCTACAGAGTTCAAAGAAAAAAAGAAAAAACCGGTGAGGAAAAGGTCCATCCGCATGGGTCAGGACTGTAGGATGAGAAAAGGGCCGGACTACGTTGGAAGTTGGGTGGTTGAGCTGACGGAGTTGGCCGTTTGAATAACCAGATGCACAAGATCCTCGGATCTACTATGCTGCTCATGTTGACGTCCACCCTGAATGATAATATTGTGCGTCACCCCAAGGCGAGCGAGCCCTGAAAGGACGTTGGATGGGGACGGAGAAGAAACATGCAAGTGGTAAAAGTGTGTTCACAGTGTAAAGCACGCACCTTTCCTCTCAATCGGCAAACAAAGCATGAAAGTGAAGGCATGGGGCGGAGGAACTAGCTGATGAAGTACAAGGCCGAAGGAATAACGGGCCCCCTCTACTTTTAAATCATCTTTTGACAGTCCAGGACGAATAGATTTGGTGTACGGTAGCCTCGGATCGCTTGGGCGCCTCACTGACTGGCGTTGCAAATTCATGCACAGTGTTTTCCCTGAATAAATGGTTGAGGCAGTGAATGAATTTACTTCAAGCACAGTCGACCTGAAGCACACCTCTCCATTGAAACTTTATTTATACTTGTCGCTGATTGCCGCTAAAAAGTGCAAGTTTTATTCATGTCAATTGACATTATCTGGACACCGGCAGTCTGAAGCAAAAGCGACACTTCCCTGCTGGTACCTTGGTGGCGTCCAAAGAGAGCTGTTCACCTTGAAGTTGGTCAAAGTCTTCATCAAGTTTACTATCTCTGATACGGCCTGCCTCAGTACCTAGTACTAACTCTACACCCAGGAATTGGCTTGATGATCGGACGGTGCTTAGAGGCATATACACCCGGCTATTTCTCACAGATGCCAGCCCCCTTCACTAGCTAGTTGGTTACCATTCGTCTGTCATCAAATATTCCGGATCGGGGGGGGGGGGTGCAGCGCCATGACCAATAATCAGTGTCTCTCTTTCTCGAGCGAACCACGGGTCGACAACCCGAAGGCAGTCCCCACGATCGATCAAGTACCGAACCTAGTCGGCAAGTTGCTCGCAATCTGGCTCGGACGGCCTGTGCCCCCCGTTGACATGCCGAGGCGGTAAGCAATCCGAAATTTCAATTTACCTCGGTATGTATTCAATACATTACCGGATGTCAATCCGAATCTTCAATTAAAACGATCAGTATAATTCAGCTCCACATAATTTAGTTGGGCCCTGATTCATTCTCTCTTGCCATTCATGTACATTCAGCAGTGGCCTAGATTAGGCTACGCTGTGACTTAAAAACAATTTGTACACACATACTATAGAAATATATGACATTCACACACTCATTGACGTGTGGCCCCAGTTGCTCTGCTATGTTTCCTTACGGTCCGGAGCCCCGCCACACAAAAAAGGAACCCTTGGGGGAATATGAATATCATGCAACCATACAACAAGCGATGCAGTAACTCCAGAGCCGGAAAGGTGGGCCGAAGTTAGGCAATTTGACTCGTCAGTCCCGGAGCTAAATAAGGAGAAACAACGTATTCAACGAATGTAACATGCCCTAGCACTCCAAGTATATAATCAATAGGTTGCTCTGGGGGTGGGCTTGCCGATGGGGAACGACTTACCGGACTTATCGATGGACGACCTTGGGTGGCACGAAGCGAATCGCCTTGTATGGCCAAATACTAAAATGGTGATGGACTTCTCTGAATCCCCGCGCGCGCTCAGGACTCGCTCATATGCGTTTCACATCACTCGTTGTCAAGGGAAAACCACCCAATGAAAGACGCTGGGACGCGAGCACAGGTAGACCTGAATGACACAGCCGCACAATTCAACCCGATTGGCTCGACTGAATGACCTACTTCTTCGGTTGAGCATGAGCGTTTATTCGGAATTGTTGGGTTGCCGGGTTGGACAATGAGCTCGGATCAAGTAACATGAGAATCATAACACAGACTACACGTCAACGAAGGTAGCAAGGGCTGAGAATGAGGCCCCCGATTCTACGCATGATACGAGAAAGGCTTGGAACAGCATTAGCGATGGGCAAACAATCACACCACATGGAAAACTAAGTCAGAGACAATGATTCTAAACATTCAAATGGGTAGACCGAAAGGAAAGGAATCACCTTATGCGTACGCGGATTCAGGGGCACGGAGGCGGTATCCCAAGCTTCTGAACCAGGCCTCGGAGCCAGTAGACAACATCCTCATTCGACTTCGTGTCCATCATCCGCCCGTTCGAGTAGACGATCAAAAACTTACAATGCTCGTTGCTGGATCGAGCACAAAAGAGGGCGCCAAGTCTTGAAGATCCGGCAAGCTGATCAGCGATCACGGAACAGTGAAATGCGTCCAACAACATAGTGTTTGAATTCTCGAAGTGATAAATCATTTCGAAGTTACTAAGGGCCAAATTGAGATAAGGGCAGCATCATTTCAGGAAGTATAAGGCCGATTGAAGCAGTCCCTCCTCTCAAACGTTGGATAGGAGGGAATAGGGTTTGTGTTGGGAGATGCATCGAGGGTTCTTCACCAAAGTTGCCTTCATGCGCGCATGTTCTTATGGGAAATGCGGAGGGAGGCTCATCAATAGCTGACGTGGTGCTAATGTAGTTCGCTGAAAATACCGCAGCAGATGGTGACGCTTCGGGTGGGCTGGATGGGGTTTCCTTCATCAGCTGCACCTTGACCTAACGAGTCTTCAAAGATCGGCTGTGGATCCCGGATAAACCTGCGAGTCTTTGGAAGACGTGCTATAGAAAAGTGTGAGCGCGCCATCGAACAAAGCCGTAAGAGTTTATTATAGGCTACGCACCGACCCATGTACGCCTAGACTTTTAACTTCATCCAAGCCCCGGCCGATCTCTATGGATTACTTACTCAAAAAAATCTATCGCCGCAATTACGAAAAAGCATACCTTGATTGCACAAGAAACCATCATCGAGCAGGGGATAGCATTCGACTCGCACATCCTGTTACAACGAAACACAGGATCGGGAGTTCGGGGACTCGATACATCCCTAGAACCGAGGCGAGCAACGTAAGTCTCCCTTGTGCTATAAGAAAGTGGGAGTGGGACACAGGATACGAGAGAGGCAAATTAATCATGCAAGCAAGCAATCCATTGGGGCATTTAACAGCTTGGATGTCCCACGCCGCAAGTTGAACCACAGCGGAAGCAGTCAGATGGCATCCAGCTCGCAGGCGTCGCGCTGCCAGCGCAATTCCATGCTGGGCTTTTCCAATGGAAATACGAAAAGCAGGAGTGATCGTGATAAACTCGGATGGGGGGGGGGGGTTGAGTATTCATTGGAATCCTGATGGATACACACCTTTCTTCTCAGCCGACAAATCAAACGGGGTGAAGGCATCATGATGGCTAGAGGAGTGAGAGAGAGGGGGGGGCATATCTTCCCAGAGACTTGAAGCATATGTATCCCCCATGCTCGGGGGTTGACTGGCAATTACTGTCAAACGCGAGATCCGTTGGAGGGATGGATAAATGTTTCCATCTCGTCAACGACATTCGGTGTAGGTCATGAATCAATGGTTAGACTATGCTTACGAAGAGGCGTCGTTCCCGCTTGGGTACTCCGCAGACGCCCAAATAATTTCGCCAATTGAGTTCTGCTTACGTTGCAAATTAGCGCATCGATCGTTTTCACCGAGCACCATCCTCACTCAAAAAAATGGCTCGTATCTCGAACTGCACGCCTTCTATCTAGGCACTTCCTCCATCGCCCTCCTACAAGATCGGCGAGCCATTGGTATGGCCGGATCCACATCAAGAAAGACTGGCCTTTCTCCTTTTTGGGTTGCCATGCAGTGCCAGCCTCGATCGGATACCACCATAATCAATGATGGTGTATGTATTGATCCTTCTGTGGTGAATGATGATTACTACAACATATCTTGGACACCCACCTTACTGATCTAAAAGACGACTCACCTCCGTCCTCACATTCAACAGGACCGATTGTTAGAAACCCGCAATGAATGCTAGAGCACGATGTTGTCAGTTGTTAGATATATATCGTGCCCTTCAGTAGCTTCAGCCTTTGCGTTTATATACATCACAGTGCGCGTAATATCGCGCACAATAAGGAATCAGGGTAGCGATAAGAAGCAACACGAAACTTTGAAAGTTTGTGTGACTAGGGCTCGCAACGTCAGCAATAGGGTGCCTTTGGTCTGCCTAGTCCCTGGCTACTCGTGGCCGCATTAGGCTGCCACTTACAACTCCAATGTCTTTGTGAGCTGTACTATCATCCACCGTGAATTCCCGACCACTGAGTCTGTCGTGAGATGTTAGGGGCTCTTACGGCGCCCAGCCGTTATGAATTGTATAGCGTCGGAGCTGGCGACCCCGGGATGCCGTGGTTCGGTTCAACAACGAGCCCGAATGCAATCATCCTTCAACCCTTCAAACTGAGTCAACCTGTTGCGATCTAGGATCTCCGGTTCGAACCGAAAACTCTAACTGACGAATCGGGGCCCGGATGGAAGTTGCAATAACAGACATAATGGCGCGCGCGGGAGTCACTCAGGAGTGCAGGAATAGCTCTCATGGGCTCATGGGCTCGGCAAGGTGTTGGCCTAAGGGTTACGGGGACCAGGTGTGTCGCGGTAGGCAGCTTCCTGACTGAAATAGCAGCGAAGCGCTCTTAGAAGAGTATTGAGGCTTCCGAGTTGCATGCGATAGGCTGGTTTCTCGAGTGGAGATGGGGTTACGCGAGTACTTAGAACAATGAAGAACAGCCGCGATCGAGGACGTCGTGGACTGGAGCCGGGATAGATGTGATGCGGCAAAAAGCACGCTCCCGTTGCATGTCAAAATGACATCACTCGCTCACCCTTTCACCTGTTGCCGTGTTTTTTTTAGTGTGCTGATCACTGTCTGCTTTCAGTGCTTCTCAAATTGCCTCACGGCTCCAACCTTCCAACCACTGGTACTTCCTATCTAGAGAGTGCCGGCTCCTCGTCGCCCGGGTGCAGATGGAAATGACAGGTGCTGGAAGGGAAATGGCATACAACTCCGAATCAACCCACTTAGTTTGACGGGGTGGCTCCTTCAATTTGAGCGTCTGAAGGGCATGAGCGCTTACTTGCGATTGTCACATTACTGGGAGAGAACCCGTGAATCTTTCGACAGGTCAACGAAACAAGCGAGAACTGGGAAGGAGATCACTGACTCTACACGTCGCACGAGAAAGGCAAACCGAACACAGAACAGCACAAGTCGGAAGAGCGTTCGAAGTGGGTTGATCGAGAGCGAGGGATCAACTGACACGTACGGTACACGCACAATCCAGAAGAACCACTACAACCCACATCGAGTCAGAAAGCGCCAAGGCAATATCCCAGCCTCCGAGTCATCCCGAAGACCCAGGTGAGAAAGGTAAGTCTCCTTCGTGTTATGAGAAGATGTGCGGTGCTTCATGCGCACAAAATGCCCGCGGCAACAAAGGACGGAGAACTCAAAACAAGAGGTATGGGTGTTCAATTGAAATGGGCCAAGTTGCCTATTGGTGGAGTCCCAAAATCGAACAGCATTTTCCTCGGCGCAGAGCTGCACGAAAGTGCAGCCGGTGCAATGGTAGATGACAGATGCGTTGACCGCCTTGAGAACAAGTGACGGGTCGGGTGTATTAGCAAATAGTATACAAGCACAAGGGTTGAATCCAGATACATGGATCGTGTGTCTGTACTTGAAGATTCAAAGTCGCACGGAGTTTCCAAATCCCGGAGTCACTTCGCGGATAACCATCAATTTTCCATCATCGAATCACACGGAGAAGGGGAAGTCACATACAGTCAAAACCATCAAGTGGGTACTCCGATACAGGAGGACCACCATCGGGAGTGGCCGCACCCCGGGGAATGAGCCAGTATCCCATACTCCAAGCCAGACCTCCGAGCCAACTCATGGTATCCTCATTCCGACTCGTATCATTTTCCAGGGTCTCATAGCAAGGCCCATGCGAAGAGGCATCCGATTGTAAACGGGGCATGGTAGATGGTCCAACAGGTTCATAGCGAACCGCACGGTGCGACATGTCTGGCATCGCAAAATGCCAATTCTCGCTGCAGGATACCATCTCTTGGCTGGAGACCGCTTGTTGGAGAGGGGACGCGGAATTATAGGAGACAGACCCACTAGCAGAAGTGCTAGCCACATAATTGGGAACGTGAGAGGGGTAAAGGAGGGCTTCATCAGCGCTTCCGACGTGTGTAGATAATCCTGGGGTAGAAGATAGGTAGAGGACTGCAGGATGTACTTCATTGGTGACTGGCACGTTCCCGAGTTCGTTTGTTGATGGGACTACAGTAGAGGATACCTCATGGGCCGAAACATCCCCGACTTGGTTTAGCCATCCGTGGGCCGCGGTTGGCAATATCGCAAGTGGCGAAATGATAGTGGATGTTGGGAGGATTCTTGCATCAGGTATAGGGTGACCTGTTGTATCCCAGAGGTTCGATTCTAAATATGAAAGGAAGTCTCGCGTCTTGGGAAGCAGTGCTATTGAACAACGAGAAATGGAATAAGCTGCGGATAGGATGACAACACAGGAAACACAGGGACGCGTCACGTACCTATCTCAGCACACGTGGGATCGCCCGAAGCGAGGACCCTGACCTCCTCTAGACACTCCTGAGCTCTAGCCGATTTCTACAAGGTTGTTCTCAGCCCTTCAGCCATATACGGAGCTTCACTACAACGGCGAACGCGTACCCTGAGCACATTGGGGACCTTTATCGTGCAAGGCATGCATTCAACATGCGTGCGTTGACACGCATCACAGGACTGGCGATCTGAGGGCTGAACACATCCCTAGAGACGATGTTGGGTAAGAACGTCTGTCGTGACGTCATGACTGATGCACCGTGGAGTTTGCCGACAGTGTGGAATGTTTAGCCATGCGAGAATGCGCCTTTAGCGCCTTCGATGCCGAACATTCTCAGTTGTCGTGTGGGTAACTCCAAAGTAAGCAATCACTGCCGGAGCCGACCAGTGAGGAACATTGTCTGGGTGAATGAAGTATGTGCACCTTTCTTTTCAGTCGACAGACAAAACAACGCGGAGGCATAAAATCGAAGAGATTGGACAATTCAGAAGGAGAAATGTGAAGGATGAACTAAGGACCCATCCTTCAAGGCTTAAGCTTAAGTAGGCCTATATATCTCCCAAGGGGATGAAGGACTGTTTCAGAAGTGGTTGGCCGATATTCCCATACCAACCAGCGCTAAAGACATCATTTTACGCGCTCAACATTTCAATTCGGATTATCATATCGAATCAAAATCGGGGGCCGTCTCGAGAACGTCTCTCTAGCCGCCGGAGATGGGGAAGATGCTTCGATCTCCGTGTCATGATCATGTGAACAACGGGGATGGAACTCACATACGGAAGACTGCATGACATGAAAATTTTCAAGCAGCTTACTGCGTCTGAAGAGTGAAATTTCTTGAGATACTATATCTTTGTGAAATAAGCATTTTCAAGCGCGTCGTGTAAAGTGCAAAGTGCAAATTTCATGTGCATGAAATTGAGATCAAATCTGATTCTCAGCGCTCAGTTCGGTTGCGGTCACAGCTGTGAAAAACAAAGATATGTACATCTTATAGGCATTTATGACGGCAGATGGGCTACAAGTGCACACAGCGCTATGCACATGGATGGGCCCGCCTCAAGTTGCATGCAGGGATGAACTGGACCTCTGTTTGTATGGCAGTTGGGCTGTCATTCGCAAAACGAGAGGGGATCCTGCCTGTTTAACTGAATGAGAACGCGTCCCATCAGCACTGCACATAATTGTTACAATATTTATGTGCTACAGGTAGACATATGGCCATGATGGTGGAAACGGTGTCGGCAAAGTATATTGGGATCGGCGGGCGCACTGACCGTGGATTCCACGTTGATCGGGGCAATTGATGTCGAAATCATGCAGCAGCTCATCATTAGGTGATGGCAACCCGAGTACCCCACCTAATTCAGTGGCCCCAAAATATCCCCTTAATTTAGCCATTCATTGATTAGAATGTGTCATGCCTTTGATTCCGCCGCCGGAGTTTGTGCTGTGTCATAGATAGAATCATACTCGGTGTAGCCAAGACGCATCACACAACATATTCATGCGTTAATTGATGTGAGACCCCCTATCTCATGGTTGCTCCGTATCACGCATTCCACACGGCCTGACCTACCGAACTCCACCGTACAGAGAAGAAACCCTCGGGCGCACGAGGAACAATTCGGACAGTAAACGATGATGCAACCATCTGCATCCAACGCAACCGATCCCGCGGACTAGATAACTAAATTACCTCCACGACATCGACGCAACAGTGACATCTACAGTGCCTTGGAACCGGAAAGCTGGAGGGTTTCCCTCGTAAAGAACCGAATGTAGCGGCCAGAGGGACGTGGGTAAGGGATACTATTCGATGGATAACACAATAGTTTTGGAATGAAGGATCACAATTTATCGCTTTAATGGTCGGGAGAGCTGCATGATCAAGCAGCCGCACAGAATTCGAGGAAGGTGGATTGGAGGCTGTCACAATTACACACCAACTGGAGTGGCCAGTCTACTACGTTGTTTCGATGGTGAACAAAACATAATCGTACACGGGTCAGGAGGTGTGTAATAGAATGTAGGTACGGGGGCGCGTTGACTCAATCGTTTGTGCACCGCACGGCACAGGCAACCAACGGCACGCTACAGATACGCTCGATAGGGATATCTGTGGCCCCGTAAATTGGCCAGTATGCCAGCAAGATCGAGTGCGAACCTAGGAATGACTGGATTCCTTTCAAGTGCAAAAATGATAACCCTTGTCATGACGAAACGGCAGGTTTTGGCACCAAACCCGCTTAGGGACAATCGAGTCAAAGTGAATGAAATCCTGGGTATCCGCTGAGTAAGAATGCGTGTGCACCGGTAAATAATCGTGGACATCCGGTGCATCCTCTTGTAACCTACCGTATTTATCTGATCATCCAATGTCGGCATTCTTGGGCCGCATAGAGCAAATCCCCCTGTACATATATCAAAAAGTGATGGGTTTCTGGATCCCCGAATGGTTCGCTAACATGCATGTCACATTATTCGTTGTCAAGGGAAAGTACCCAATGTAAGACCCAGTAGCAGAGGGGACAAAGGCGTGCAATTCACCCAAACCGATTTGATTAATGGAGAACGTGGGCGCTTAAGTATTCGGGTTCCCTAGGGACCAAGTATATTAGAGACATACACGAGCTACACATCAACGTAATGAGGTCACCGATTCTACGCATGATACGAGAATAGTTCGGAAGACCATTACTGATAGGCAAGCAGTCACCCCACACGGCAAACTAAGTCGAAAGAACCGCCACTGCGCACGTGGATTAAGAGGCACAAGGAAATATCCTAGCCTCTGGGTCAGGCCTCGAAGCCAATAGACAACATCCTCTTCCAACTTCTCGACCATCCGCCTATCCTGTGGACAATCCGGAGGTTCGAATACAGCAATGTTGGGTACCAAATTGCATATGCAAGAAGGGTCAGGTACAGAAAGCTGGTCAGGGATCGCGGGATGATGGAATGCGTCCGACAACATAGGGATTGAATTCTCGAAGTGGGAAGTCATTTCGAAGTTAGGGGCAAATGAAGGGAAGCATGGCATCATGTCAGGTAGAATGGGGCAAATGGGGGCGAATCTTTCACTCGAAGGTTGGAAAGGAGGGAATAGGGTTTGTGCGTGGAGATCCACCAAGGGTTCTTCATCGAAGTTGCCTTCACGCGTGGATGTTCCTATTAGAAATGTATGGGGAGGCCTATTAATAGGTGACGTGGTGTCAACATAGTTCGCTGAAAACACTGTTGTAGACGGTGACGCTTCTAGCGAGTCAGTGGGCTCGGTGGGATTTTCTTCATCAGCTGCACCTTGGCCTGATGAATCTTCAAAGAGTGGCTGCAGGCTTCGAATAAACCTGCGAGCCTTTGGGAGACGTGCTATACAGAGATAGAATGTGTGAGCAAAGCATAAAACGGAGTCCCGAGAGTTTACTATCAACCACGCACCGATCCATGTGCGCCTAGGCTCGGCTAGACTTTTAGCCTCAAGCAAACACTCCCGGGCCCTAGCCGATCTCTATGGATTATCCCCTTATCAAGGAAGTCCATCAGCGGAATAGCGAAAAACATACCTTGACTGCACTGGGAATCCTGATCGAGCAGGGGATACATTCGACCCGCATCCTGCTACAGGAAACACAGGAAGGGGAATCCGGGGACTCGACACATCCCTGGAATAAGGTAAAGTGAGTCTCTCCTTCACGCTATGACTGCATTGAAGAAATCACAAAAATGTGACACGAATGTGAGAAAAGAGAATGGAACGGAATGGACAGGGCTGCACGGCGAAGTCCGATATCCGTTGCTGAGCTCTCCAAGAGTCATCCTGTGCTGCTATAAGGGAAATGGGCAGAGCAGCGGTGACACAGGGAAGGGAGTTTTGTGGTTGCGGTGGTGAAGTTTATAAACTCACCTTTCGTTTCAGTCGACAGATTAAACAGCGTGAAGACATCGTATTTAGGGCAGATTGCGTGCGGAGCATGGGGTGAAGGGACATGCTTAACTCAGAGGCTTTAAGCACTTCCATTCTCTGGTGTGTTACATTTCGTCAACTGCAACAATCGCCTGATTACACGAATGTCCGTTGGCGCAATTACTAATCTTACGTTTTGTCTGTGACGCCTAGAATGCGCCACAGCACCACAGAATGAATATTCGGAGAGGACTTGCAAATTAAGGAGAGGTTGTCGAGTCAGGAATTGGGTGGCGTGATGTCGGAAGCTGACAAATCGGGTGAAGGTTGCAGTAATGAGGACGTCTGCGGGCTGCGGTGGTACGCTCAGGTGTGCAGGAATGGCCGCTTGTGGGCTTGTGGTGTGGCAAGGGCACCGTCAGGGGGCTACCCTCGGATCGGCTTAAAATCGCGCCCGGTAAACGGTTTCCTCACTGAAAGGGCAGCGAAGGGGCTCTCGAACAAGCATCAAATTTAGGTTCGGACTTGCACGTGATGAGCTAGTTTGTCGAGTGGGGTTGGGGTTCAAGTTGCGCTGGTGGGCTGATGTAGATGGAGCGACGCAGCCAAAGAAGCCGGATGCTTTCACTTGGTTGGGGCAGGGAGAAATGCAGTGCGGCAAAAAGCACATTGACGCCTTACGCCCCTTTCAAACAATGTCGTGACAATTTTGCGTGCACCTCGCGGTTCCAGCCTGGACCCAGTACTTCTACCTTGCGGATGGTCCCTCGCAGCTTTGCTTCACCTTGGACAAAACCAATAGGATCCATACAGGATCCGCCATGCCTTCGCTCGGAATTTGACGGACTTTGTATCTGCCATCCCAAAGTGTGATCTCACAAAGGCCATATCTATAAGGGACGGGATGGAGGGTGCTGTCTTTCTGTTATTTCAAGTCATACAAAGGAATCTCCAATTAGGAGCGTTTCTCATTCACACTATTCGCAGTGCTGTGTGGGATGAACTTGGAGGTGTGCAACTCGACCCGATTCGTGGCTTTAATCGAACGTCTGAAGGATTTCGGCGCTTACTTACGATTGTCGTCTTGCTGGGTTGGAGGGAATCTTTCGGGTCCCTCGGGAAAAAGTTGTATTAGGAACGAATACGAACTATAGGTCGACGAAACAAGCGAGAAAGGTCACCGATTCTACAGAAATGGCAAAACAAACACAGAAAGCACGAATCGGAAGACCATTTGTCATACGCAGCCAATCACACACCACGGAGCCAACGAAGTTACCACAGCAATTCCGAACATTTGGGGCGCGGGGAATCAACTTAGCGTTGCGGTTCACTCTTGATCCACCACTACCCACATCGAGTTAGAAAGGGACAAGGTGATATCCCAGCCTCTGAGTCAGGCCTCGAAGCCAAAAGACGACGTCCTCATTCAAGTTCGTCTCTGTTCGCCTGTCCTGTAGGCAATCAGGAATTTTGGGTGCGGCAACGACCGATGGTGGAGCAATTACGTGAGAGGGACCAGGTCTAGAAGGCCAGGCGGGCTGATCGGGGATCGCGGCACGATGCAATGTGTCCAACAACAGAGGATTCGAATTGTCAAGGGGAAAAGCCATTTCGGAGTCGGGGACAAATTGAGGGAAGGACGGCATCATGTCAGGCAGGGTAGGGCCGATGGAAGTAGACCCTCCCCCTAGATCATGGTCAGAAAGAGGGAATAGGGTTTGTGCTCGGGGATCCAAGGATTCTTCACTGACGTTGGCTCCACGCACAGGTGACCCAATTGGAAATGTATTGAGCGGCTCGTCAACAGCTGATGCGGAGCTAATGTAGTTCGCTGGGAAGACTGTAGTAGTAGACGGGAAAGCATGGGGCAGGCCAGAGGGCTCGTGGTTCCCAAGTATATGTGGGGTTGTCATCGCCAAGGGATCGGTGGGGTTCCCTTCATCAGTCGCGCTTTGACTCGTCGAATCTCCAAGGATAGGCTGCAGGTCTAGGAGAAGCCTGCGAGTCTTTGGGAGACGTGCTACGTACAAAGGTAGGGAAATATGAGCACGGTATCGAACAATCTCTTGAGTTATTACCACGAACCAATCCGTGTACGCCCAGGCTCAGCTAGCCTTTTAACTTCAAGCAAACACTCCCGGGCCCTAGCCGATCTCTATGGATCATTCCTTTATCAAGAAGTCTATCGACGCGACAGGGACAAGCATGCCTTGACAGCACCGGGAATCGCCATTGGGCAGGCGATGCATTCAACACGCATCCTGCTACACGGGTCGCAAGGTCGGGAACCTGGGGACTCGGTACATCCCTGGGATAAGTCCAAGGAAAGATGGGTGAGAAATGTGTTTGTCACGCTGTGTCACCAAAGGTGTGACATGGACAAATTTGAGTTGCTCTAAGTAGCGACGCCGAAGTCGGACGGTCCCGGGCGGTGGCAAGATATACATAGATATTCGCAACCAGACATAGGTAGGACTCCAGCCTCTATGACTTCGTAATATTATATAGAAACCAGACATACCTTTCCCCTTAGTCGACAAACAAAACAGCGTGAAGGCATCAAGTTGAAAGTGTTTTGGTGCAGGTGACTAGTGAAGTGGGGGACAAAAGATGTTTTGACTCTACTTTAGTAGAGGCTCCTATGTTTTGACTTTGAAAGGTTTAAGCAGGGGCATAACTAAAAGGAAAATTTATTTCAATTCAAAACATTAGAGTCCAATACAGTAGAATAAACGGTGCCTATTATTCATTGTTTACTGCAAAGGCCCAAATAGTAAAGAAAATGCACAAGCGAAGAACCCTGCTTCACTTAAATTGGAAGGTCAGCCCTGATTCACGTGCTGCAGTTGCCATGCACCACCGGCTCTACACAACTAAGAGGAAAGGTGTGTCCCTAAGAATTTCAATATCTACCACAACTCCGGTCTTGCGGTGCTGCCGCACGGTCGCCTCCTTCGGAGTCCAAAATGGGCTTTGCTTGATTGGAGAGTTTGGCACGGAAGATACAAAGGGGACTTGGTGATTTTCTAACATTGTGCAGTGCGCGTCCACGATGCGGAAACGGCTGGGTTCGAGTCTGCGATATTGGGGTTATGATAACTACAACGACGGGATGCAGTGAGACCAAAGACCCCGGTGCTAAGCAAGGAAACCCCTTTCATGGGGCGTGATCCAGCTAACTTTTTTAGGAAGGAAGAACCTCCTAGATCTCTTTCGATGAAATCAAAATGGCCGATTTTCTGGGAATCGGCTTTGCTGTGCTTTATCCTATTTACATGACACTCACATGAGCCTCCATTTAGGGCACTGTTGCATCCACGGGACTCATCAAATTTCTTCGTAATACAGCGGGTCGTATCGAAGCGCTGCCATGTGTTTCGTCCATGCATCACCATCCCAAGCCATCTCATACGGTTTCTCGTGTTGTTTGTTTGCAATCGATCACCCACCCGCGCAGAAGTTAGGACACATGAAGCTCCAGGTGTAACCGACCTGCGACAGCGCCGCTCAGCACGGTGAACAAAGTCACCATGGACAGGTATAGATTGACAGCGGCCTCATTATGTCTCAGACAATTGTACTTACCTGATTGATGATCCATTATCGATAGTCTCTGCTCATTCCAATCAAGCCCTGCAGCGCAAGCGCAGACAATGCCGTTCCGTATCACAAATGATAGAATGCAACGTAAGTACGGATGAGATCCAAACTGCCAAATCAGAGTTCTTCGACTTGACTTCCGTGCCTATATCTAGGATGCTTTCGCGCATGATCAAGTGGGCTGCGCTGGGATCAAGAAAATCACCATCTGCAGCAAGGGTCATTTAGCGCAGTTGGATAAAAAACTCAGAAGGTGATGGTCAATACACAATACGCGAGGGAGAGCAGCACCACAGCATAGGAGCGATAAAACAAGGACTGCAGCTTGGAATTCAGCACCCCGTGGCATTTAAAGCTGGTGGGATATTATCGTGACCAGTCAGCGTTCGCCCGTCAACTTCGCGCGTCGATGGGTTCAGCCTTTCGAGTTTGCCAGGAAGTGAACGTTGTAACTGGTGTCATATAGTTTCTATGTATGTGTCCACATATCACGAACGTGCTCCTGTGATCATGAGCGCGGCGCTCGCGCGCAACCCTCACGCGATCACACCATTGGGAATAATTAATTGCTATTGCATGTATTTACATGCTGCCCCACAGAAAAGCAACGCGTGGCAAGAAACGCCAGGCATTCCATGGTTGGCACGCATCGTGATTGTGGGGGACTAACGGTTACAGTAGGCGCGCAGATAAGGTCGTGCCACTGATATATTGCCGCTAGATGTTTGTCTAGTGATAGGTGTCGGGGGCATGAGCTTGGAGAGGCCGATATATTCAGGAATGGCATGAACGTTTAGTATTCCCCTTGGCAGAACTACAATATCGTAGGAAAGGTGCTCTGGGCAAATGACAGGTGGCAAGCGTGTTAAGAGCAAGCAATGAGTCCGATGTATTAGCAAAATGCAAGCACAGGGGTTGAAAGCATGTACATTCATCGCGAGTTTGTAGGGGCACTCGGGGATTCGGGATAGCGCAGAATTTCTAAAGTCTTAAGTCACTGATGATGTTACAAGAAAGGGTACACAGAATCGCTACCCACATGAATAATTCATGTCATCATTGAGCCGTGCAGAGAGACAGAAGGCAATTACCCTCAAAACCTTCAAATAAATGTTCCTATACAAGAGCACCACCACCGGGAATAGCCGCTTCCGCGAGGGATATCCCATACCCCAAGCTAGACTTCTAAGGCAACTCACAGCATCCTCGCAGTGGCATTCCCTAGCGTCTCACCACAAGTTTCGTGTGAGGGGGCCTCTGATTGTGAACGAAGCATAGTAGATGGTTCCGCAAGCCCATAGTTAATAGTACTGTACGAGATGTTTGGCGTCAGAAAACCCCAATTTTCGTCCTCTCTTAAATGGGAATCACTTGCTCGAAGAGGGAAGCGGAGCTATGGGACATAGACTCACTGGCGGAAGAGCTAGCTAAAGGATTGGGAACGTGAAGAGGATAGGGGACTGAACCAAAATCCAAGAGGGGTGGCCCACCGATGTTCCCATATTCGTATGATCCCAAACTAGAAGGCTGTATGATCATTAGCAACTGGCACGTTCCCTAGTCCATTTGTCAGTGGAACTGCGATGGAGGATTCTTCGTTGGCTGAAATAGTTCCCATTTAGTTTACCCATCCGTGCGTTGTGGTCAGCAATACTGCCGTGGGCGAAACGATAGTAAACGGCCGGGGGATTCTCGTGTCACCCACAGGCTGGCCTGTTGTAACTCCGGGGCTCGATTGCAGATATGAAAGGGACTCTCATGTTTTGCGGAGCAGTGCTACTGAACAGAGAGAAATGGATAAGTTGTAGATGGGATGACAACACACAGAAACAAAGACGTACCTATCTCAACACACCTGAAGTCAAGGCCCTGACCTCCTCCAGACGCTCCCGAGCTCTGGTCGATTTCTACGAAATTGTTCTCAGTACCAGTACTTCACTCATCATCCGAACCTTCGCTACAATGGCGAACGCGTACTTTGACCACATTTGAAATCTTTATCGGGCAGGGGATGCATTCGACATGCATGCGTTGACATGCATTACAAGACTGGCGACCTAAGGGGCAGATACATCCCTTTGAGCAAGAAACTCGTTTGCAATATTCGGATGATGGAGGCCATAGGGCGTGTGTCGTATATAACGAAACCAACAACCCGTCCGAGGCACGATGCATCCTGACTGGTCTTATGACACACGGAGTTGGCCTTCCCCATGCCAGAGTTTCGCGACAGTGTGGAACATTTAGCTATGCAAGAATGCGCCTTGGGTGTCCTTGATGCTGAACGTTCTCAATCGAGTGAGGCCGTGGCTCCAGAGCGAGTAAACACTGAAACCGGAGGAAGGATAGTTGTCCAGGTGAAGATGAAATAGTATATACTATTCGAGTGATAAACATATTGAAAGAAACGTGCCTTTCCTTAGGTGTTCTGCCAGTGTTGACTGCACCCTGGAGCAATTCAAATTTTTGAATTGAAATCTCTTCGAGGTTGCTGATGCCGCACAAGCGTCAATGGACAAAGATTTTCACAAACAGGAAACCATACCTCAGCTCAGAGTACGTGAACTGACCGCTTGCATATCGAAGCTATCTGGATGCCAAATGTCGCGGACTGGAGTAGCATAGCGGATCTTCGGCTATGAACGGCTCCTCAAGTAGAGTGAACCGGTGCCCGTGCTCACTTTACGGCCGTTGCTAAAATGTTACTAGCCAGTCAAACCAAGCTGTCGGCTCATCGTTGTGGGAGAGAATGGTTCCGTACATTCGCTTAGCTTTCGCTCAATACAAACGTTGAGAACTGGGCTCCGTTCTCGCTTTTTTTTGATCTCACCTTCCCCATATTTCCCCATCGGGCTCGTCAGTCTTCAGTCCTCGCTGCATTTCCCTTTTTTAAACGGCTTGCCTGTGATTTTGGTGCCCTAGGTTCAACACATGCGAGTGACATGCTCCCTTGCTGCTTCATCTTTGGACTTGGCACTCTTACAGAGCTGTTGTGGTGAAACGTGGTCTCGCATGACCAGTTCATATCAGAAACCATAGCAGTTACACGTGCACGATCCTTCCTATCCCAGAGTGGAGGATATAGAAGATCGATATGACAGCTGTGCTACTAGGAAAAAACGGGCGCCTTCCCGCGTTTCGACATCGGCTCCTGTAACCACGTCCTCCGACCGCAGTTGATCACATGCCAGCTGGAGCTTTAGGACACTGTGTGTCCTGGCCAAGCCCCAAAGGCAAAAGGCATACTTATCTCAGAGACTTTAAGGACTTCCATTCTCTGGTGTGATACATTTCGTCAACTGCAACTTACACGAATGTCCGTTGGCGCAATTACTAATCTTACGTTTCGTCTCTGACGTCTAGAATTCGCCACAGCACCCCAGAATTAATATTCGGAGAGGATTTGCAAATTAAGGAGAGGTGTTGAGTCATGAATTGGGTGGTGTGATATCGGAAGCTGACAGATCGGAGTCAAGAGTCAAATGGGAATTGCAATAACAAATGCGATGGTACGCTCAGGTGTGCAAGAATGGTCGCTTGCGGACTTGTGGGTGTAGCTAAGGGTACCATCAGGCGGATCGGGTTAGAATCGCTCCCGGTAAGCGGTTTCCTCACTAAAAGAGCAGCGAAAAGGCTCTCAAATGAGCATTAAAGGTTCAGACTTGCGTGTGATGAGCTATTTTGTCGAGTGGAGCTGAGATTCAAGTTGCGCCGGCGGGCTGATGTAGATGGAACGAAGAATAGCCGCAGCCGAAAGGCCGGATGCTTTCACTCACTGGGGCAGGGAGAAATACAGTGCGGCAAATAGCACATTAACTCCCTTTCAAATAATGTCGTGACAATTTTGCGTGCACCTCACGGTTCCAGCCTGGACCCAGTGCTTCTTCTACCTCGCGGATGGTTCCTCGTAGCTTTGCTTGGACAAAACCAATAGGATCCGGGCAGGATCCGCAGAATTTGTGTCTGCTGTCCCAACTTGTGGTCCCACAAAGGCCATATCTATAAGGGACGGTCTAGAGGATGCTGTCCCCATGCTACTTAAAGTCACGCGATGAGCCCCCGATTCGGAGCGTTTCTCGTTCACACTGTTCGCTCGGTGAAAAGGGAAGGAACAAGTGATGGGTGGGACAAAAAACTTGAAGGTGTGCGATTCGCGGCTTTAATTGAGCGTCTGAAGGATATGGGCGGTCGCTTTACGATTGTCATATTGCTATGTTGGAGGGAATCTTTTGGGCTCCTCGAGAAAAGATGTATTAGGAACGAACACGAACTACAGGTCGACAAAACAAGCGAGAAAGGTCACTGATTCTATGTTAGGATATCAACGTTCATCGACGATTACCGGGTGACTACGGACTGGAGGGACGGTTGGGGAGTTGTGAAACTTTGATTGACTTCATGTAATTTGTGTATTTTTCATGTTACAGTCTATGCGTCTAGGTCAAAGGAACAGTTACATGGTTCTCCATATCGTCTACGTGTCTATTATTCTACACACCACACGAGAAAGGCAAAACAAAAACAGAAAGCACGGAGCCAATGAAGTTACCACAGCAATTGCGAACATTCGGGGCGAATCGAGGGCGGGGAATCAACTTAGCGTGCGGTTCACTGTTGATCTGCCACTACCCACATCGGGTTAGAAAGGGACAAGGCGATATCCCAGCCTCTGAGCCAGGCCTCGAAGCCAAAAGACAACGCCCTCATTCTCTGTCCGCCTGTCCTGTAAGCGATCAAGAATTTCGGGTGCGACAATGGGCGGTAGTGGAGCAACTATGTGAGAGGGACCAGGCCTAGAAGGCCAGGCGGTCTGATCGGGGATCGCGGTATGATGAAATGTGCCCAACAACATAGGATTCGTATCGTTGAGGGGGAAAGCCATTTCGGAGTCGGGGGAAAATTGGGGGAAGGATGGCATCATGTTGGAAAGGGTAGGAACAATGGAAGTAAACCCCTCCCCTGAACCGTGGTCAGAAAGAGGGAATAGGGTTTGTGCTCGGAGATCCAGGGATTCTTCATTGAAGTTGACATCACGCACAGATGACCCCATTGGAAATGGATAGGGAGGCTCATCAGCAGTGTTAATGTAGTCCGCTGGGAAAGCTGTAATGGTAGACGGCAGGGCATGGGGTAGACCAGAGGGCTCTTGGTTCCCAGGTACATGATGTACAGGAAGTGGGGTTGTGATCGACAAGGCGGCAGTGGGCTGGGCGGGGTCCCCTTCATCAGCGGCGCTTTGGCTCGTCGAATCTCCGAGGATAGGCTGCAGGTCTAGAAGGAGCCTGCGAGTCTTTGGGAGACGTGCTACATAAGGAAATATGAGCACGGTATTGAACGAACTCTGAGGTATTATCGCGAACCAATCCCTGTACGCCCAGGCTCAGCTAGCCTTTTAACTTCAAGCAAACACTCCCGGGCCCTAGCCGATCTCTATGGATCATTCCTTTATCAAGAAGTCTATCAACGCGACAGGGACAAGCGTACCCTGACAACACCAGGAATCGCCATTGGGCAGGCGATGCATTCAACACGCATCCTGCTACATGGGTCGCAAGGTCGGGAATCTGGGGACTCGGTACATCCCTAGGATAAGTCCAAGGAAAGACAGGTGAGAAAGGTTTTTGTCACCAAAAATGCGACATGGATGCAGAGGTCGAGAGCTCAGACATTCGCCTTAGGCAGGTGTGACGCCGTTAGTGTCTTCCATGTTGGGCTCTAAGTCATTTTTGAGCTGCTGCAAGGGAAATGAGCAGAGCAAGAGTGACAACGTCAAAGTCAGACAGGCTCGCCGGACCCGGTGGTAAGATATACATAGATGTTCGCAACCAGACATACCTTTCCTCTTACTCGACAGACAAAACAGCGTGAAGGCATCAAGTCGAACTTGAAGTATTTTGGTGCAGATGATTAGCGAAGTGGGGGACAAAAGATGTTTCGACTGTGGAAGATTTGAGGCTTGACGCCTCGAAGCTTTAAACAATCCGTTTATGTTGTGTTGGATGGGCCACCACAATCAATAAGTAGTTGGGAATCCAAGTCATGTCCGTCGAGAATGACGCCAGGGGCTCAATTCTCCGACCCTGTGTTTCCAGCCATGTGTTGGAGCATCAGCGCTGCGCACAGAGATACTTGCAGTGTAGGCCAGTTATTTTGGCATGAGCGCTATATAACGGACCCTGCCCGATGATCGCGAGGGGCCAGTCACTCAGAGCTTATACTGCATCTAGCATCGGGCCGGATCTTGATATCACAGCGGTTTGCAGAAAAATCGGCCATCTTGAATTTATCGGGTAGGTGATCCTAGTCATTCACCCTCCTAAACGGACCAGGTTCAACGAAATAGGATTTCCTTATACGGGTAAGCGGCTTAGCGCCGAGGTCCAATCGCCCATGCAAGCAACAAGAGGGTGTACAATATTGGCAATTGGTGCCAACCCAGCGCTATTGCTTCTCCTACTCACAGTCTATCATTGACCACTGTTGGCACTTGGCGTGCTTGATTGGGGGACCCAGAGAGTGTGAGGGGCGCGTGGAAATCGGCCGGGTGTGCCAGGGAATGGGTGGTGGGACGTCCGGGCACGGAGGGAGAAGCGGAAAGCGCGTCAAAATTGGCGTTTTCAGGGTGCGGCGGCGCTGGAGGGTGCTGAGGGGCTGGGAGGGGAGTTGGAGCGACCAAATGTGGTGAAACTGGCCGCTTGGGCCCGGATGACTTTGGACCAAAAATGCACCAGTTCATGAACAAGTCGCGCCTGCACAAGCGGACGCGCGATTGCATGAGGCTGACGCGAAATAGGCGGTTGATGGCGCTGAAATGGACGGTTTGGGAGGGAAATCGGCTGGGATGGGCCGGGAGCACGTCAGGATGGTGCTAGAAGGCCTCATTTCAAAAAAATATGAGGCGACGGCCTCCTTGATGCGTTTGAAATGTGAATCAAACTTAGCTAGTCGCTCAATCACAAAACCCCAAGCCAGACGTATACCCCAGTGATGCTAGGGTGACTAATTGCTGATGGCGCAAGCGGGTGAGGCGGTAAACGGCTGCTCCTATGGCCGAATCATAAGCCCTTTGCCTCTCAATCGTCTCCATTGTTAGTTGCCTCCATTCCAATAATAAAACCAGTGGTGTCGGATTACATTTACTGCATGAGCACTGAGTGTCAGGGCACACCTGCCTGACCCGGCTCCACCCGGCTGTCAGGGCAACCACACCTGACCATACAACCCCAGAACCACCTTCCCTAACCTCCCCCCACTTCCCTCATCCTCCCATCTTTCACAACTACAGCCCGCATGCGAACCCGTGGGAAAAATCACGTGGGTCAAGGCGAGCAACTCGCCTTAACCCATGTGACACCTTTTCCGCATCGCGGGAACATGCTCGGCTTCTACCCAGAGTCACGCTACGAACTGTACAGTACATTTCCTTTTATAGCAGCCAAGCGGGGAATAGGGAAACTTACCCTTCTTCTCAACTCAATCCCCGCTTAGTGAGTTTGAGGAGCTTGGGATAGGATCTGGCACCTGGCTGCCTGGGACACCGCAAGTGTCCAGCTTTGAGGTAGGGCTGCCCCCGGACGGAGGCCGGGCCCTGACACCGGCCCAACCTGACCCGGTACCCCGCCAGTCCACCCTTCCTTACCCCCTCCCCCTTTCCCTTCTTCCCCCTCATCCTCCCCTCCTCAGTTTCTCCTTATCTTACTTCCCCTTTATTCTCTCTTTATTCTACATGGACGACTTTCTCTGTATCAATGTACAACTGACCCATCTGCAGCGCGCCCACCATGTACCCGGCCCGGGCACCTCGGGCGACTTCCCGCTGTGCCCAGCACACGCGCCTGCACCGGATACCCTCGGGATCTCCCACGGAGACACCTGGGTGGTTACGGCTGTGTGCGAGGGTGACGTGGCATCCGTCATGTGATCCAAGCTGCATGTATATAAACGAACCTGAAGTGGGAACCGAAGAAGTAGCCTTCTTCTCAACTTTCCACTTCAGGTAAGTAGTACAATATTTCTCCTTTAATAATAATAACAACTTTCCACTTCAGTCTAAGTGGCCAGGGACTACTGTCCCACATTGGGCCTGTCAGTACGCACGTGTCAGGGACTCGTCCGGGGTCGAGGGGGTCCGGGTATAGCGTCCGGGACCGAGAGCCTGGCGGGGGGCGGATCGGGCGTGCATACTGACAGGCCCGATGTGGGACAGTGGTCCCTGGCCACTTAGACTGAAGTGGAAAGTTGTTATTATTATTAAAGGAGAAATATTGTACTACTTACCTGAAGTGGAAAGTTGAGAAGAAGGCTACTTCTTCGGTTCCCACTTCAGGTTCGTTTATATACATGCGGCTTGGATCACATGATGGATGCCACGTCACCCTCGCACACAGCCGTAACCACCCGGGTGTCTCCGTGGGAGATCCCGAGGGTATCCGGTGCAGGCGCGCGTGCTGGGCACAGCGGGAAGTCGCCCGAGGTGCCCGGGCTGGGTACATGGTGGGCGCGCTGCAGATGGGTCAGTTGTACATTGATACAGAGAAAGTCGTCCATGTAGAATAAAGAGAGAATAAAGGAGAAGTAAGATAAGGAGAAACTGAGGAGGGGAGGATGAGGGGGAAGAAGGGAAAGGGGGAGGAGGTAAGGAAGGGTGGACCGGCGGGGTACCGGGTCAGGTTGGGCCGGGTGGAGCCAGGTCAGGCGGGTGTGCCCTGACAGCACGCCCGATCTGCCCCCCGCCAGGCTCTCGGTCCCAGACGCTATACCCGGACCCCCTCGACCCCGGACGAGTCCCTGACACTGAGCATCTGATGCCATCGGTGGTGCTGGCAGTGAGCCCATAGAGACGATGATATCCTTTGTACCAGACTCAAGATGTTTCCCCATAATGACTGGACAAGACAATCGGATGTTGTGAACGTGTTCAGGCACTTCTATACATTTAGGGGGTATCATTGGGGTTTCCCTCGAATAAGGAAATCCTATTTCGTTGAACCTGATCCGACCAACTTTTTTAGGAAGGTGAATGACCAGGATCACTTACCCGATTCAAGATGGCCGATTTTTCTGCAAACTGCTCTTAGGGTGGGGTTTCGGAGTAATTCATGCCCGAACCCCTTATTTTTGTATGCGTTGATCGTTAACCTCCATCTTTTGCTGCGGGACTGATCTCGGAACGTCTGGTGTTTCGTTCACGCATAACCATCCCAAGCCACCTCGCACGGCTTCTTGAAATTTGAAGGCATCAAGACTTGTGTCCATGCTGTTACAATTGCCACCTTATCCACCGGTAAAACGCACGGACTCAAAGTGTAACCAACCCATCCCGAATTTGCGACAGCACCGCTCAGCATGGTGAAAAAGTCACCGGTATAGATTGATGGTGACCTAATGATGTTTCGGACAATTGTACCCAACGTCGACCTGATCGATGATCAACTATCGACAGTCTCTGCTCATCCCGATCAAGCGCAATAGCAGACAATGCTGTTTCGGATCACAAATGATAGAATACAATGTAAGTACGGATGCAATCTAGCAGAGTTCTTCGACTTGACATCCATAGGACGTGCCCGCGTTTGGTCAAGTGGGCTGGGATCAAAAAAATGTCACCATCTGCAGCAAGGGCCAATTACTTAGCGCAATTGGATAAAAAGCTCACAAGGTGATGGCCACTACACACTGCTATCAAGACATGATGGAGAGCGATGCCGCAAGATAGGAGCGATGAAATAGTTGGGACCAGGACTGCAGCTTGGAACTCAGCATATCACCCGGCGATCATGGCGCCCGCGCTCAGCCCTCACGCGATTGCTTTAATACACCATTCGGGCATAATTGTTATCCATGGTTAGCGCGCAGACAAGGCCGTGCCAGTGAGAGCGGCCGATGGATATTGCATGATATGTTCATGTCACTAGAGTGGACAGGGAGTGTTTGTCTATGCAGTGGTAGGAGCCGTCAGTGCTCGTAGATGTGACGTAGGCATTCAATTGAGATGCACCAAACTGCCTAAATTGGTAAGGTCCGGGGCGGATCAAAGTGCGGGGTGTCGGCGGCGTGGGCTTGGAGAGGCCGATATATTGGGTGTACATCCAGTTCAGTCGTCTGACGATCAAGTGCACGAGAGTATTGCATGAAAACTCTGATGGGAATACACCGGGTCTACGGTTCGAATCACTTCGACACATGCGAGGATTCGGGAATGACATGAATGTTTACCATTTCCCTCAGCAGAGCTGCATCGTAGGCGAAGTGCTCGAGGAAATGACAGGTGACAAGTGTGTTGAGAACAAGCAAATGTATTTGCTATCCTGAATCTTCGAGTGCTTTTACAGACTCGCGATGAATGGACATGCTTTCGACCGCTGTGCTTACATGATAGCGTAAAGTCCCAAGCTACTGATGACGTTACAAGAAAGGATACACAGAATCGCTACCCACGTGAATATTCATGTCATCATTGAGTCGCACAGAGAAACAGAAGGCACTTACCCTCAAAACCCTCAGATGAATGCCCCTATACAAGAGTACCACCACCGGGAATGGCCGCTCCGCGAGGGATGAGGTAATATCCCATACTCCAAGCTAGATTTCCAAGGCAACTCTCAGCATCCTCGCTCCAACTCGCAGTGGCATTTCCCAGAGTCTCACCACGAGTTTCGTGTGATGAGGCCTCTGATTGTGAACGAAGCATAGTAGATGGCCCCGCAACAGTACTGTACGAGATGTTTGGCGTCAGAAAACCCCAATTTTCGCCGCTGAATGTCCTCTCTTGGATGGGAATCATTTGCTCGAGGAGGGAAGCGGAGCTATGGGACATAGACTCACTAGCGGAAGAGCTAGCTACAGGATTGGGAACATGAGAAGGATAGGGGACTGAACCAAAATCCAAGAGGGGTGGTTCATCGATGTTCCCGACGTATTCGTACAATCCCAAGCTAGAAGGTGGGTAGAAGGCTGCAGGATCATTAATAACTGGAATATTCCCGAGTCCGTTTGTCTGTGGAACTGCGATGGAGGATCCTTCGTTGGCTGAAACAGTTCCCACCTGGTTTACCCATCTGTGCGTTGTGGTTGGCAATACCACCGCCGGCGAAACGATAGTAAATGGTTGGGGGATTCTCGCACCAGCCATAGACTGACCAGTTGTATCTCCGGGGCTCGATTGCAGATATGAAAGGAACTCTCGCGTTTTAGGGAGCAGTGCTATTGAACAGATAAGTTGTAGATGGGACAACAACACGCAGGAACAAGGACGTACCTATCTCAACACACCTGGGGTCGCCTGAAGCCAAGGCCCTGACTTCCTCCAGACACTCCCGAGCTCTGATCGATTTCTAAAAAAGTTGTTCTCAGTACTTCGGCCATCATCCGGACCTTCACTACAATCGCGAACGCGTACTTTGACCACATTTGAAATCTTTATCGGGCAGGGGATGCATTCAACATGCATGCGTTGGCATGCATCACAAAACTGGCGGCCTAGGGGCCGGACACATCCCTACAAAGTGATGAGAATGATGTTGAGCATAAAACTCATTTGCACTAGTTATGATTTTTCGGATGGTGGAAGCCATAGAGTAAGTGTCGTATATGTAACGAGGCCAACAGCCCGTCAGAGGCACGATGCATCCTGGCTGACACACGGAGTTGACCCTCCCCGTGCCAGGGATTTGCAACAGTGTGGAACATTAAGCTGCGCAAGAGTGAAGAAGGACAGTTGTCCAGGTGAAGATGAAATAGTATGTACTATTCAAGTGATAAACATATTGAAAGAGACGCACCTTTCCTTTCAGTCTACAGACAAAACAACGCGAAGGCATGGAATCGAAGCGATTGAACAATTCAGGGAAAGTGCAAGGCGGAAGGGATCCATCTTTCAAGACTGGGTCTATATATCTCCCAACGGGATGACAACCAACTCACCGGGAAATTGGGGGTTATCGCAGATAGGTCAGAATGTTCGATTCAGTTGGCAGAGGCTGAACTCGCAGCGGTCCAACAGAAGAATGCACGTCCAACTGCCGGCCGGAGATGAGGAAACCGTCTTGAAAGCATCTGACAATATGAAGCAACAGCGGAAACAGGGTCTGTCTTGAATTGGCTAAGGCCGATAAGTGAACTGCTCACTGAACTCAGTCACTGAACCAAGTAAGTTCGATTTACATGAAGAGAGGATGTGTAAATACAGAAAGACTCCTATCCTAGGTCCAAGATTAGGGTCTTACGTAAGCCGGTTGCAACCCGTCCTAGGTTTAGGGGGAACAGTACATGTCAGCCTGATCCTGTGTGTATATGGGGGCCTTTCACCATTGTATGAATAAGAAGAAGAAGCCTAGTTAACATTCTCCGACTCGGAGGAGGGTCCCGCCTCTTGCGCGGTTGGGACGTTTGTGTCGTCCGTTTGCAATGGGGTCAAATGGGGATGCCGTAGGGGCTTGCCGCGCTGGTGGCCAGTTCATCATGATATGGCCTAGGCTCCGTATCATTGATCCTACCACGTCCACGGCCGCGGCGCATATAGGGCACGCCAAGGCAGTGTCAGGGCACGGCCTAACCGGCTACCCTGACTCCCTATGCCGGAAGGGAGTTGCCGTAAGACGATCCGGAGTGATCCGAAGAACGCAGGTAATCTCGCTTAGCTTTCGCTTAGCTCCCGCTTCCTATCTTCCATCCACATGTCACCCCTTTCCCACACCTTGCTTACGATTACCCGAATGAATATCTATCTTTTCATGTCGTCATTCTATCGGTTAGCTCTTATCTCATTGTAACCGCGCTCTAGTGGGTAGCGGTACCCATGTATATAACCTCTATCTCCACTGAGGATGGCACCTCAGCATTAACAACGACTAGGATTCTCGGGAACGCCCTCTTCGTCGTGAACTGACACGCAGTCCCTGACAGGCAGGGGGTAAGTATTTACCTGCCTCGAGAAGCGGGGATCCGTTGCGGGTTCGGTGTTTCCTGATTCGATCGGCAACATACCGCCGCGTAGTCTTTAGCCTCCATATCGGTATACAAGATCAGGCGAACCTACGGCTGTGTTCAGTTGGAGCACCGTTTTCTGGACATCGGGCAAATACAGTCTAAACTTTGAATTGTGCCGTACTGTGGGCGCGTACAACGATAGGGCACGGTTTACCAATGGATCCCATTGACTTTAGTATATTACATGCGGGAGTGTACAACGTTCGGAAGAATGGCCACGGTTTACCAATGGATGGGGAGTGTGTTTAGACTCGTGGTAGCAGTGCAGAGTGAACGACATTAGCCACACTGGGCTTGTCGTCGTCAATGAGGATGGTCGCATCCTTATGCTGACGCACTCTAGACAGTGCAGTGTACAGTTGGCCATGTGCGAATACATCGTTTCTTCCATCAATGATTACTTGATCAAAAGTTAACCCTTGGCATGAATTGAATGTAGTAGCGTAGGCGAGTCGCAGGGGAAATTGTTTTCGGCGAATGGTGAATTTGAGGAAAGGAGGTCGAAAGTCAAAGATGATACGTGGTATGCAATGAGTGGAGTCGGGTCGCATACCTGGATTGAGGAGTTTAATCTCAATGTATCTTGGTCGCAGTTTGGTGATTACCACTTGCTGGTTTTTGACCAAACCTTTCTGTACACACAGATTGCACATGATGGAACAAATGGCTCCTTCTTTCAGTGGGAGGTCGTGATTGGGTGCACAGTGGGATTCCATTAGTGCGAGGAAGTCTTCGGAAGATCGGATGTTGTCTAAAGGAGAGCCTCCGTCGTTGGTCTCAACCACGGAGTCGAAAGCGTGAAACACATCTGAAGAACAGTGAGGGAGTGGTTTTAAGCCTGGGAAGTACGCTTACTTACATAAATCCGAAGGCAGGTTGTTGAGTACTACGGAATTAATGTTATTGACATCGAAGTTGAGTGGAGTGAGGAAAGTGCGTTTGACTGCACATGGAGGATCCAGTAGTACATTTGGGGTGAAGAGGGTTTCGTGTATGATGTTGATGTCTGAGGAACGTGAGAGATGGTGGTCCAGTATGACGCGGTTGCCTGAGCAATCTTCACCAATGCGGTTGATGAACTCTGCAAACACTGGATCTTCCGCATTTCTTATAGGCATTGTGAGTTCGAGAATGCAGAACTGAGGCCATATAGTGGAGGATAGAATTGAAGCCAGGAAAGTGTCAGACGCACCACCTCCTTGGACGACGGGAGCCACTTGGCGAAAGTCTCCAATTCCAATGACTATTTTTCCACCGAAAGGAATGTTGACTCCCATAATTTGACGCAATAAGGAGTCGACCGCTTCGATGAGAGCGACATGGGCCATTGGGAGTTCATCCCAAATGATGGCACTTGCATGCCGGAGGTATTCAGCACGGGAGGAATGGGGAGAAATACGGGATTCAATGTGGATGGCTGTCTCGTCATCGATTATTGGTAGACCAAATAGGGAGTGAGCTGTTCGGGCATGGTCTATGTTTGAAATCGATAGAGCTGTTGTGCCCGCTATGGCAGCAATTTGACTTTGAGAACGGAGATGAGCTATTAGACAATGGATTATGAAAGATTTTCCTCTCCCTGCTTTTCCCGTTACGAAGAAGAGGTTCGGAAGTGTGGAGCGCGAGGAGAGATTGTCAACGGCATGCAACAAAGTGTCCCAAATGATGCGTTGGTCAGCGGACATCATGTTGTATGATTGTTGAACAAAATTGAACAAAGAAGTCGCTCGGTGAGCGAAGTACTGTAGTTCTTCCTGTATTTCATTGTTGAATGAGGAGATGTGAGGAAGACCATAATCAGTCACAGTCTTTCCATGTTCGAGGAGAATGTCGTTAATCTTTTGCAAACAGCATTGATGAGCATAGGGAGGGACATTATTGATTGAATGTCCAGCGAAATCTCGAGAGAGGTCATCGCGGAACTTATCCCATAAAGGCACTGCTGTTGCACCTTCTAAAATCAAGAGGCAAAATAAGAATCGAAGTTCGGAGGGTGATTTGTAATTTGCGACAGCATCTTCCATTGCAAGAAGCCCTTCATCCTGTTCTTCAAACAGACCTGCAGCTTGGGCAGCCCGTTGGAAAGAGGGATACACAGTTCCATGAATTGTGCGCAACTCAGTGAAAGACCGCGCTGGATGATGGAATAGGAGGGTTCGGATGTAGAAGATTTCACCTTGCCCAGGACGAACACTCTGAAGTCGGGTTAACTTTTTTACATGACGTTCTTTTTTTCACAACTTGTGGAGGGACATCTGGAAGCTGAACAGATTCCTGCCAATGTCCCTCTGGAAGTGAATGTGCGAGTTGGTTGGCAGCGATATGAGTGTACTGTTCATAGAAAGTGGTGTATAGCATGTCGTTGAATGGAGAGCCCGATGGGCGAAGAAAGTAACGGACCAAAGAGGAAGCCTGTGAGGGAATTGGATGGGAACTGGGATGAGCATGAAATTGAGGTCGATTCGAGTCCGGTTCGTGAACTGTGAGTTTGGATACTGAGGGATGTTGGTATGAGATTCTGAAAGCGAATATCCTCCAGCATGCTTCACAGCATGAAACATAACGAACCCGAATGAAGTCATCAATTGCCGCATCCATGGAATCGCTGGTGTTTGCTGAGAAGCCCACACGTGCATGATCTGCTCCTTTGAACAGATATTTGAAGATGTATAGAAAGACATCCACCGTGAAGATGGCTTCCACATTAATGTGTCCATCCCAGAGGAGCAAGAGTGCGGGCGAGTAAGGAACTACCCATTCGTCACCTTCCTCACGTTGATAATCCATGCGTAATTGAGCATTTAGTTTGGTGAAGGGCACCGGGCTTTTTGGGTAATCATATATGCATTTTCTGAAGCGATTGCAGCGAGAGTAAGGAGAGGACAGATGGTTGCGGTCATGTAGCATGTGTTTTAAGACTAAGTCTCTGAGACGACCGGGTTGTTTTGGAATTCGGGCAGAGATGATGGAGTCGATGTCGGACAATTGTAAGTCATGTTGGAGCTATGTAGAGGTTTCAGAGCAGAGCAAAGCCAGAGGAAGAGAAGTAGACCTTGACAACAATGTGTGCATGTGGCAGACCACGTTTTTGGAATTCGACCACATATACATGGTATGCCACTTGAAATACTCGTTTGATCTCGTGAAGAAGTTTTTGTAGTCGTACCTGTCAATGTTCAGAATGTAAGTTGGATTGGAATCCAAGGGAGTACCTTGAAAACTTGAGTGGTGATTTGAGGGACTTCTGTTGCGGAAAGTCCTCGTGTCATTTCGCGAAGTTCAGGCCAGTTCAGATTGCAAGTGGCAGTAATGAAAAGATCTGGTTTCCCTAGTTGACGTGCCAAACATAGAGCGTCAGCGACCCGATTAGCATAGTATTTTGGAGAGCCGGTGAAGCTAGCTGGTATGCAATGCACTGCAGAACGATGTGTGTCGGAAGTGTCATTGTCATCGTTGGCATCTGAGTCGCTGTTGTCATTGTCCTGGAGTTGATAGGGTTTAGTTGCTGAACGTAAGATGAGCAAGCGTTCATCTATAGTTCGTGAATACATGTCGCATATCCATTCACAACCCAATCTACTCAGCCAGCGGAACCGTGGTTCAGTGAGCAGAAGATATTTGTAATAACTGATTTGCGACGCCTCAGTGCGAATGTCAGATCCCCATCCAGGTGTGCCATGGGGAAAGAGCAGAGGATATTGTAGTGGTTCATATAGAGGATTAAGAATGTGAATGGAGGAGGGTGTAGTGTCTGAAGATCATTGAACATAAACGGCTCGTTCAGACGATCGCGGAGTGGGACCCGATTGATACATAGCCGCGATTTCTCTGTTGGGAGCTTCATCAGCTAGAACCATGTATACATCCTGTCGTTGTGGAAGATATGAAGCAAAGTTTCAATAGAGTTTGTAGTATGGATTGTATTCATGGATATCATCACGAACAGCATTGAAGATGGACGTTGGCACGTCGGATTGTTGGCAACATTGTTCTTGTCCCTCTGGATCGTATAAAAACCAATGGGCAGCATGGCCTTCACGATACAGCGGCAATGCACGATGGTATGTTCGTCCTTGGAGAGCGAGCCAATAAGCACCACCTGTAAATCCAGGATCAGAGCATACATAACAGACTGGAATGATTGTAAACCTGTGTAGTGAGACCATTGTTCCGAAGCCCCCATTGCTGTTAAGCAGAACAAATTATTGAGATTTCATGAGTGTTGAGAGAGTAGTCGACGTGTATGTGTATTCTCGATCAGAGCCTGAATGCGTGGAGTCATTGCGGGCAGTGGATCAAAAGCTTTGAGACCATTGCGACAACACCATGAAGAGGACTCGTCTTTTAGTAGGAGAGTGTTGCAAAAAGGACATGGAAGTGAGGCCCATGGTGTCACAATCGGGTCGGGTGTCCATATTTTATAACGGCTCAAGGCACGGTGTAATGGGTCTATCAATCTAGACTCGTGGCTCAGGCCTGGGGGGGGTAGGTCTCTCTCTAGTGTCAGACAGATGTAGTGGGGTCCTTGGGTACAGTGCTGATAACCCTCCCTAACTAACTATACAGCGGGTCACGGAAGAGTCCGATACAAATAGAAAAGGAAAGTCACATGCGTGAATGAATGAAAATAGTAAAGATAATAAAGAAAATGTCATATCTCCTCAACAACCAAACCAAATCCAACGATCTTAGACTCGTCAGAACCACCTCTACAACCTCTACAACTCCTACTATTACCCCGACTCACCAATCCTAATCCCTGATGCAGTAAAGGGTGAAGTGTGCAATGAGGCTCGTTTTAACCCGCACGGACTTGTCCCCACAACAACGGGCAGTTCTTCGTCGTTGCATGTGTGTGTGATTCATGTCAAGTGTGAGTGCGGACTTGAAGGTTTAAAGAAATCCATTGAGCAAAATATCATTTTTGACATTCGATAAGAATTACAATCATGGTGAGACAAAAGCCGTAAATAGCTAACTATTTCTTCGCTCGTTTTTGGGGCCTATTGAAATCCGGATGGACATCAGAGTCAGCAACCTCAGTGTCAGTGGTAGAAGAGAAGGTAGATGAAGATAGATTGACAAAGGAATCAGTGGGGTCCGAAGTGGTCGTAGTGTGTTCAGAGTGGGCCCCCGGTGAAGCAGCGAGAGTAGAGGAAGAACTTGGTTCAGATTGCTCCGCCACAGTCTGGTCAGGATTCGTCTGTCGATTAAACAGGCTGCGTTTTTTAGTGTTGCCAGGCGAGGACAGAGGTCCAGCTGAGCGGAGATAACCTAAGTCCTCGAGATCAAATCGAAGCACATTGGTGTGAGTGTCTCGATATCGAGCCGATACTTGTAATGGTGCACCAATGTTGGGAATGCGGATGTTCTGCCAACGTGGTGTGGAGGGAATGAGAATTGAAACAGGAAATTGAATGACTCGACGGGTCTTGAGAATGGTCAGGTAAAAGTATCGGATTGTTAATAAGACTAACCGCAGAGTCAAAGGATCCAGTAGTCAATGTGAACGCGCGATCTTCGACGGCAGCAATGATTCCGGTGATGTCAAAAATGACATTGGTCTCCGAATCAGGATGCATGTTTTCCTCCGGATGACCCGTGAGAAGGACGGTGCATGTGGATAGAGAGGAGGATGCTACCAATTCATCGTTGACGACGCGGGAGATCAGATTGCCTCGAACAAATAGCAAGTCACCCAAGTGAGGACTACTGACGATGGCGTTGCCGACATATACTTCAAAGGTGACGGCAAGAGCATCAGTCAGATCCGTACCTGAGAAAAGTCAACCATGAGGAAAGATAATTAGTAAGGTGAGACGGACCTATGAGTAGCTCGCTATGCAATCGGCCATTCTTTACATCTGGAGTGGTATTCACAAAGGCATAGCCAGTAAAATTGGCACGTAAGGTCAGAGCTTGAGCCATCTTGGAGGGGGAATGGGTAGACGAAAATGTACCGAAGAAGGAACATTTAAAGCATACAGAGCTTGCAGGTTATCATAGACATCATGGAAACCTGAGTGGCCCGAGAACTGAAAACAGTACTGAAAGCGGATAGTAATTGCACATGGAAGTGAGGATGAATGGTGTGATGGAAGAGGATGAGATCTGGTGATGAACCCAGCAGCCTGGAGGAAGTTACACGGCAGAGAAGCAGAACAGAGTGCACCGATGAGACACGTTGGAACCGGTGAAGAACCAGCAATGAAGCCAGGAAGACTGAAAAGAGTGCATAGGTGTGTTGCGTATCTCTGTCATGGCAGGGAGTCGCACAAACTCTCCGCTTTCCAGAAACACGAAAGAAATGAAGGATGAGGAGGACGGTGCATGTGATGAAAACCTCAGCTGATTAGGAAACTCAAATGCAACCGGAGATGAGATAAGCTAGCTGGCTCCACACTTAGTCCTCAACGGGCGTTTACTTAAGCGACTGGATCCCAAAACGGTGATGATCTAAGCAAGCCGAACCAAAATGGGTGAGGAAGTGCCCTAAAGGGGCGATGAGCTAAGCGAGTGCATCCCAAATGGGAGCTGAAGTAAGCGTCTTCATCCAATGAGAGTGTGTGAGATCGCGCTCCAACCAATCGGCGTTCGCGATTCGTGGAGCGTGTCCGCGCTCTTTATATATAGTAGATTATCTTGTCACAGGTTTGTAATCTTGCTTACCCCTAAGATGCCTAAATAATCATCAAGCGCTTTCCATGCAATAAGCTCCACGGCTCCCAGCTCGTAGAGCCATTCGACCCCCGAAATTCCAACTCAAAACTCGCGTTCGGTGAAGCTAGCCTCTGATTATTCGCAATCGCCAAATGAATTCAACTTTCGCGATAAGACTTTCTGTTGAGTAATATACCCGACTTTGAATGGAACTTGCCTTCGATGTTTATTAGCCATCCATGTCTGATTCGTTCTTGAATCGATTAGGGCATCGTGTGCATCAACTTGTGTAATTGATGCCATCTTTCGAGTCGGTGTCTGTATCCCGATTTTTGCGACATCAATATCGGGTTCGGTTGGCGGGAGTAATCACCAATTTAAGTTCGGGCATGTGTGGGAAAGATCATCACAGGCGCAGATGAGCAATCGATCGGACAGCTGCCGATCCATATGGCTCTTGCGGCACTGGAATTAATGTTCTTTCCGCTATGCGTGATGAACGTTCATGGATTATTAAGTTTCTGTTTCTCGACAGTTGGCGCTACAGTGCGGCAACTAAGAGACTGTTGCATTAGGGTCTGTCCCTCCCAACATCGCCTCCGCATGTCAAACCATGGGAGATGGAGTCGTCAACAATTCTCTTGCAGGTCCGAGAACATTTGGCATACCCAGGATCGAATACATTTCGTCGGGGGTTTCCGGCGTCCATCCCGAATTTGGTGCCGCTGCTGTGACTGCGTCGCTACCTCCTCCCAAATCACCTTCCCAGTGCCCACCATTCGCTCTGTCCGCTCCCATTTTTAGTCATTTGGCTCATTCAAATGGACGTATCACTACCACCTGTGTACTATCTGTAAATCTAATGGGTTTCTCATGACGCACTCCCCAAGTCACTTCTCCCACCACAACTGTTGTTCCGTTTCGATCATTCAACTCCGATGCAGCTGCAACGTTATTTTTGCCCTCTGCAACGCCTCCCCCATTCACTCCGAGCCTAGGCTGGAAGAACAATGAATCTGTTGGGTTCAAGCAACACGAGATGTATTATGAACCCCGTGTCAACGGAAGAAGAGATCACCGACTCTACACATGGCACGAGAAAGCAAAACAAGCACAGAAAACACGAGCCGGAAGATCTCTAGTAGTAATGCGGGCAGCCACACACCGCGGAGCAAACTGAGTCGTAGCAGCAATTCTGAGCATTTACAAGTTGGTAAATTAAATGCGGAATCAACTTACTCGTACAAGAACCACAGCTAGCCACATCAACTCAGATAGGGACAAGGTGATACCCCAGCCTCTGAGCCAGGCCTCGAAGCCAGTAAACAACATCCTCATTCGGGTTCGTCTTCATCCATCCATCCTGTACACGATCAGGGGTTTCGAGCGCAGCTACGATCGGCACATGATCGGCGATGTGAGAGGGACCGGATCTGGAAGGCCCGGCGAGCTGCTCAGGGATCGCGGCATGGTGGAAGGTGTCCGACGACACGGAGCCCGAATTCTCGAAATGGAGAGTCATTTTGGGACTAGGATTGAATCCGGAGAAGGGCAGCATCATGTCCCGCAGGGAAGCGGGTTCTTGGATAGGGTGGGACTGGGTTTGGGTTTGGAGATCCAGTTCATTGAGCGCAGATGTCCCCGTGGGAAATACATAAGGGGGCTCAGCTGACGGAATGTCAATATAGTTCACCGGAAAGGCTGTAGTAGATAGTGAATCATCGGGGAAGCCGGTGGGCGCGTGGCTCTCTTGCATATGAGGCACTTGGAGTGGAGTCATCGGGAAGGAAGCAGTGGGCTGGGTAATTCCTTCATGAGCTGAGATTTGACCCATCGAACTTTCGAGGACTGATTGCAGTTCTAGAAGAAACCTGCGAGATTTTGGAAGATGTGCTGCATACGGAGACACATAAGTACGATCGCGGTGCCGAACGGGAGGTCTTGAGGAGGCATACACTTACCGATCCATGCACGCTCAGGCTCAGCTAGCCTTTGAGCCTCACGCAAACACTCTCGTGCCCTAGTCGATCTCTATAAATCATTCCCTTTATCGAGAGAGTCTATCAGCACGATAGGGAAAGGCGTACTTTGACCTCACTGGAAATTGTCATCGAGCATGCAATGCACTCAATTCGCATCCTGTCACATTGACCACAGGATTGGGAATTCGGGGACTCGACGCATCCCTAAAGGCAAAGTGAGTCTCTCTCCTTCGTGTCATGACTATCTTGGGAAGACAAGACTTTCTGTCACACTATGTCACGAAGATGTGACGGGGAACTGGTAACTTTGCGTATAGACATGATGTATGCAAGTTAAGAAGCCAGATATTCCCCTTGACATCGCACCGTTATCATTTCCAGCTGAGCTCTCCAATCGAGTGAAATCATTTCGTACTCCAAGGGAAATGTTCACGAAAGGAGGGCCAGGAATAATAATGCCAAGTTTGAATGGGAGTTTGCGGAGGGTGGTTGAATGCTTATTGGGCACACACCTTTCCTCTTAGTCGACAGATAAAACAGCGTGAAGGCATCAAGTCGAAATGATGAGGATGACTGGTGAAGTGTTGGGTGAGGGAACATACCTCAGAGGCTTTATTTAACCGAGCTAGAACGCAGCGGTAGCTCGAAAGCAAACCTTCCTTTCTTAGTCACAACTTTTGACCAGGAATAACGTTGGAATGGGAGCTGCGGTGGGCACTCGCCGACTGAATTGAAGGCCAAGCTCCCGCCCCCGCTTCATTCACACGACGACCAACTACCGGTCACGTGTCACAGTGGCCTCCCGGTCCGGTCGAAATCCAGGGTCTGTCACGCATCACAGGCAGTCGGCGGTTGGGTGTCCGGCTGTCATGCCAGGCAAGGTGGCTATGCAAAGTAATTCTCGCTGGGTCCTGCAAATTTTTCGCCCAGGACTGAATTTGTTTTCTGGCAAGGTCTTCCATTATTGCCAATTCACCATAACCCAGGGTCCAACCCAACCCAACCCAATATTCTCAGTTATACCTGACTGTTATCTTGCTTCCTCTGCCGACCCCCTGCTTTCTTTCTACTATCAATTGTTACCATTCCTCACAGACACAATACTTTCCATTTCTTCTCTAGCTGCAGGTTTGGTCCCAGGTGTGCTTTCTATTTTACTTCCACTCACTTCTCTTCACTGAACAATCTTAGGGCCCACCTCTACTTTGCTTTTATCCTCCACCATATTTGCATCTCCAAACCAGTTGATTTCAATTGCTGAAAATCATGGCATTGCCTTCAATGTTCGTAATGTGTTGCATATTCATGACTATTTAGTTGCCCATCTTCTCTTTGGTGATTGTTATAAACTTCCAGACCTCCAGACCCTTTCCCCTGCCTGTGTCTCCCACTCCACTGAATTTCCCTTCTATGACCAGTATGTTGTAGATGTACTTTTGTTTGGGCTCTCCTCAGTCTGTCCCATTCAATATCTGAAAACCATCTGCCATGCTTTGCGCATTTCACGCTCTCATGATTTGAATACTGATTACATGTGAGTTTCCCTCCATTCCCAACAAATTTCAAATTATTATCCAGATCAAAAGCTCATCATTCAAACTTTTGAGTCCATCTCTTCCCCACTGAGAAAAAAAAATCTATGAGAAAATCCTCCATGAAGTAGGACTAGAATCCCATTGAGAAGCAGGATTTTGTCCAAATTTGTCATGTTAGAAGAATCCCACTGTCTTACATGATTGTGACCAGAATCATGTTGAAAAATCCTGCTACAAAACAGGGAATAATCCTTTTATCTTACAATTATTGATGATGATATTGTAGGGAATCATGCTCAAAAACAGGTCAAATCCTGTCTAATGATTGATTATGTTAGAACGGACAGTTTCAGATGGTTCTGGAATGGAATCAGAGACTTAGCAAGGAGGGACCTTGGCCTCAGCGACTCAAGCAGAGCACTGTGCCATTGCTGGTTGTCCTGTTGGTCTTTAATTTCAGACATGTCAAGGGTTAAGTCTCTAGGGGGCAATCAAGTTGATTACTGACTGATGTCATATCCATCCATGGCCATCACCCTCCACTACCTCCGGTCCTTCCAGATTACCTCCATTCCTTCATCACTAACCTCGGAGCCTCCAGATTCCGCAACCACCTCCGACTCCCTTGATGGTCACCACCCCCTCAATCCAATATATTACCTATGCCTTCCTAAGTATGGAGCCCCAAAGGCCTCCAGGCAGCTCTGACGTCCGCTAGTGCACCCCCGCCTCTGCTGGGCAATTTAGTTGCTTTCCCTGCAAGTCTACCTTTGGGCTGATCCCTCCTTTCTGTTTCTGGGTTATAGCCTGTCACTCTGCTAAACCCATAACCTGACTCATTGGTAATATTCAGTTGGCTAACATGTAACTCCATTAGCTCCACTCCACTCAGTCCCACCATTCACGGGCCCACCC